CGRCSMCMSMRATCTMCACCGATGGTTATTCGTCCGATGAAGCCCAAACTTTTTCAACCCAGAAAAAGCATTGCAACACTCATGTCGAGTCTATACACATGAGTTCGAAATTGAGGCAGCTGCTGCGGAATGATTGATGGTGATATGTTGGGATTTACAGGCTAGCGTGTCGCGTACAAAGCCTGATGGTCTGGCAAAGTCAAAGCCTTCCCCATTCCAAGTGTCCTACTGGCCATCCCCTTCCGCACTGAATCTACCTCAGCGTAAGTATATGGTTTCTACACAAGACTACCATGCAAGCCTTGTTGTGTACGCGCAAGATCGCCTCGACAAAGGCATCATCGAGCCATGCTTACTCCTTCAACACTGCATATAGACTCAGTTTAGCACTTTCGAGACCTCGGGTTGGAGAGCCTACTTCAGATCGTTACAAAAGCTTCTTCTTCAACGTGTGGAGGTGCAATGAACTGATCGAATGCCTCCAGGAACCGCCGTACATCGTGCGCGGCGAGCATGCCGGCCCTCTTTATTTTCAACCGGYAGCTGATGGGAGAAAAGTCGCTGATATCCGCATAACTTCCCTGCATGATATTCGGCTGTCCTTCGTGGGCGATTGCTACGAGTGCTTCGTTTTTGTGACCAATTGCACCGCGATGTTCCTCGAAGTCGGCTTGTGGGACGACACGAAAAACTGCCTTGCGTTTCTTGTTCGTTACATTTGGTCCATGACCTCCGGCGCTCCAGATCCAGACAACGAGATAGTTCTCCTMGCTATTTATTCGCACCACGATACCAAGCCTTATGCAGCCTGGCACTGTGAATCCGGCAAAGTCGCCATACTTTGGATCTGTAGATGCTTCTGCATTGGGGTTGAGCGCGGGACTGCAATTCGGAGCCCAGAGAATCTCTCCGAGGAAAAATTCGGAGGGCTCGTACGGGTGATTGAGCAAGTAGGTAGGCTTTTGGCTGACAACAATCGTCTCAGGAATCACTGATCTGATGCCACGACTGCTAGCAAGCGCAAAGACCTCGAGACTGTGGGCCAGTACTGAGGCGGACGTTGTTTGTGTGGTTAAGAAGTTTGGATTAGTGTAATCTTGGCAAGAGTCGGGCTTCTCTTGCGTGGCAGTGCAGGGACGTGTAGCATGAGGAGTTTGCTTGCTGCCTATGTCCATCGCTTCGCGCTGGCCCTGGACTACGCTCAACTGTGATGCCAGCGCTTTGTTACGGTAGAATGACAGGTTATTTTGCCGCCTCAACTCGATGTTCTCCTCCCGCAGCCGCTCGTTGTCAAGAATCAAGGATGCATCCGTAGATTCCGAATCGCGTGGCGGCAAGGCGGTCAGTGCACCTTTAAGAGACTCRTGAACCGGTCCAGAGGCTTGACTTGTCGATTCGAGGCCAGCGCTGCCGCACAACTTCTTCGAAGACGCTGTTAGATCCTCCCGCGTGATGTCGATCTCGGCGCCACCCGTCACGCATTCAGAACGCTTCCGTTCCTGGTTCGGTCCATGCATTTCCGATCCTGCGCGGGCCTCCCAGTGGCTCTCGAGCTTTTGGATAGCCTTGCCAACTTTTCGCGATTCCGATTTGGTGGTCAAATACAGTCCGGGCAAGCTACCAGGAGGTTTGAACATCCCGGACGGAGCTGCGGACGCCAGCACCTGGAGCGGTGCTACGTCAGAAATTGCGAGTATTTTCAAAGTTCTGGACTGAGATCGTTGGCCTGTATCAATTTGTGCATCTTCGGGAGTCTTCTGAACAAAAAGAGCCACCATTCTCGGGAACTGTTATTTGTATGGCGTTAGGCTGACTTTGGGTCGCGGAGTTGTCAAGGGTTTGTTCAAGCCCTTACGCGCTCGGGAACCTGTAGGCGGGTAATGCTGGCAGTATCACCACCCAAGCCGTCCTCGAGGAGTCGAGTAGACGCGCGATGGGACGTTACCCCTGCCAAGATAGGGGTGTCGTCCAGTGTGGCACGGCCGGTGAATCCGCGCGTTGCAAGCCAAGAAGAAAACAAGGCACTAGAGGGATCACCAGGTAAGCTTCCATACTTTTAGCCAGAGCACAAACTTGTGCATTACCTTAGCGGGATTGCCCTAAGAAAAGTCAGGCCACTGTGCGCGGTCTGTCCTACGAATGCGCGGCTTCAGGAACGGCGGGTGCTGTGTAGAAGTTTTGCAGTCGAATGGAGGATGTTGTTGACTAAACTCATGCATATGATGACGAATGAATATCTTCTCTCATAACCTCCGAGCATCACGTGATAATTTCCCAATGCGTGCTTGACAAAGAACATGCACGCAAGCCTCCTTCTTTGTCTGCAGAGCAAACTGAGCAGCTAATATGAGACATCGAGCTCAGATGCGATATCGAAACCATAGTCTTCACCTTTCACGTCGAGGATCATCAATCCCATCTAAATGGATATCCTACGTAGGCTCGCGGCTCGTATATGGACCAATTACCCTGGACTGAATCAGCCTTCGGCAGAACCAGCTCCAGTCGATGGCAATGTGTTGAACTGTGTATAGGGGGTAGAAGGTGTATATTGTAAAGGGTGAGTTGGACTGAAGGTCCAACTCAGGGTAGTTATAACTACGCCCTCCTTTGTCCCTATTAGACTCCGGTTTGGGCCATGTTCCCTTTGTGAACAGTGAGGTGTGTAGAGTCTCTTTCAACACTCCCCCTGACTCAAGCATCTCAGGACCCTACGGACGTGGAGGTACAGCCGTTCCAATTCGACAATAATGAGAATCCAAACTACACGACTGGTGAATCAAAGTTCGCTGAAATCACCATCAGTGGACAGCAAAGACTTATCATTTTACCCGACGAAGCTTTGGTAAGCGTTCTCAGGAGTAGCGGTCTTGGGGACAGAGAATATCGCAGAGAACTTTCGGGACTGGCTGATCAGGCGGGTCTGGTTCGGATGCGGGAGTTCTTCGACTCCATGGATAGGTAGGCCCAGGACGACATGTGCAGAGCAATGGAAGGCATTGGCGAACATCGTTCAAGCGAGCGTACAGCCATGCTGGCAGCTGGTAAACTCAGCCAACTAGATGGAGATGGAAGGAGAATCGAGTTGAGGCTCCAGTCTACACAACGGCGAGTCATTCAGCRCTTTCAAGCTCTGATGGACCATATCAATCCAGTGCTACAGCAATCAAAATTGATCCCCGCACCCGATGAGCCTGTGGAGCAGCAAATGGACGCGGAGCTTAGACACAGATATCGTCTTGCGTTTGGTGACGACACATTGAGCGACGCCCCCGTAGCAGAAGAAGAGCCTGAACACGAGAGACTTGAACTAGTGGAGAGGCGTCCTACCAGTCCTGCCTCGGTTGAAGATGACGACTCAGTGATTCCTAAGCAGTTGAGTGGCGAGAGATTGGCCAAAGCGCGGGCGAGGTGGGCGTTCTGGGACTTCCAAGACCGAGAAGAACAGCGCAAAAGAGCCCAGGAAGACTTCAACACCAAGGAAGCGGTGCTGGACTCCGGAGCTCGGCTGATGCAGCAACGTATAGCGGATGGGAGATCAGGACCTGCTGACATGCTCAAATTTGAGCTCGTCAGCTATTTGATTGGACAGAAGGTAACTCGAAATCTCATAGAGGCAGAAGAGCGATGCCGGTCTATCAAGGCAGAAGGCCAGGAGGTCGGAGCGGACTTTCGCGATGACGACATGTCTTCCATGTTTCCAGATGTGAGCGCGGACGATCCCGAGGAGGAGGTCGAGCACGAGCAGAGATTATCAGGCCAGCGACCATCCAGTGGTGCCAGGACTTACCGGATCTGGTGGATACACTGATCGCCGAGCAAGTAGAATGGACCAGACGACCAGATATAGATGAGTGGGACGCTAGGTCTGTCATGGATTACGACAGTTTCAGCTCGACAGGTGAGCCAAAGAAGAGGAAACTCATTGACACCATTCTCTCAGAGAATAGAGGATTGCGAGAGGGTCCCATAGCTGTATGGGTGAATAAGACAAATAAGAGGCCAATGTTGTTTCACCGGAAAGATGCTGCTTCAGTGTCCTCGAGAGCGAGAGACCCATAAAGGAGATGATGATGAATAGCCGGGAGAGTGGGGAGATAGGCATTCATCGCACGAGGACTACCGGCCAGAGGTCAGCGACAAGGCCACTTTTCTCAGAAAGAACTTCTAAGAGATTACATACCGTCCCAGTATCGCCATTAGTCATTTGCCTTGATATTTTCGAGCGCACAATATCGACGAGCTATCTAGGCATCGAGTTGAACGGAATGAGCGCTGTCTAGCCAGTGCGAAGTGTTGTGATGTTGCGGTAGACAAACGCACGTGGTCCAACACCTTTAGTGAGGAGGGAGTATGAAAGTTCGGTGAATGACTAAGAGTAATTTGTGGTGTTCTTCTGTTCATCTCTACACGCGTGCCAAGCCATGCCATACCACAGTCGTCTCGGCGTCAGGTCAATCTCCGACAAAGGCATCGTCTCCCCTCTTCTCCTTGACCGGCAACTTTCCATCCCAGCAACGCACATCTCTTCGCCTGCTCACCATCTCATGGTTGACTGGCAAGACCTTTTTCACCCCTGCGTCTCGGACAACAAAGTTCCACTGCGTCGTCTTCAAGCCACGCTTTCCGGCAGAGACTCCGCGATCCATATGCGGAAATCGATCCTCCATCCTGCGGAGCCTTGTGGCGTGGATCATGCTAAGAAAAGCCAGATCGGTCACCTATCCAGCGATGCTTGTCACATCTCAAACGGTAGAGAATGGATGAAATTGGATCTTTTTCGGGAATCCAATCGAGAGTCCCCAGCACCCTTCTTGAGCACGAGTTCCCGCAGTCTCTTGCGGTACTTCATCTCGGCGAATGCCTGGTCGCTGGTGCTGGCATCTCTGCGCACTGCCTTGATCATGCATTGTTTCGAACGGATCGTCCGATTTTGCATCTTTTGCCTTCCCGCGTGGCCAACACGCCCAGAACCGGCTCCAATCTTCGCGGTATGCCATCACGAAGATCAGGGGGATAGCAAGTCCCATCATAAAGCCAAAGAAGGTCGCATACAAGATCCACTCTGTTTTATGTGCATTCGGAGTTGCTGTCAGCTTGTTCACCATCTGTTGCGCAGCCGTGAGGTTACTTTGGTTGAATTTGTCTCGGGAATAGATCTCCATTGATGCTCTCTCCAGCCCGCCGCCGGTCGACAGATGCTCCGTGTATTCTAGCACCTTCGTTATGGCATTTGGCTGTTTGACGGAGGTGGAGATCACTCCGTTGGATGTGCTTTCCTCGGTGACGACAACCATTCCAGCTTGTAAAGTGGGTTTGATGGGAACGAAAGCACCAGCGCAGAGAGTTGCTTCTTGAATGCAAGTAGCGTATGAGAAGAATGGCGGCAATGATTCGTCCGATGATGCAGTCTCGATGCCGGGACGGAAGGTGAGGAAGCCAAATGCAAAATGACCCGGCTGCTATTGCAGACAGAAAATGTCTCCGCCTTGTCAGCTGTGGAGCCTTCGCATCGGCTCTGCTCATAAGGTTGTGTAGCAATGGAAATACATGTAAGTGTCGATTTCGAGGTGGGCTGCGAACGATGACGTCCAGGAATGAGGAAACAGCGAGGAGAGAATGGCAACAGCGAGTAGAGAATGACAAGACGGGAGACTTTGCGGAAGGTAGTCGCGATTGGAGCTCGGGGAGGACCATGTCTCTTCAATCAATGATCCAGGTGTTATTTATCTACCTCTCGCCATCGACGCTGAAGTCTATATCATGACCTCACTCCTACTTGACACAGCTCACTGTCGAAAACAAGGAAGCTCGTATCCGCCGGAGTATATTTGCGGTCATATTATCCTGCTCGCTCCACGAGCCAACCCACTTCAGCACCATACGACTACTCGTCCTCGCAATTCGCCTACCGGGCTCTACAGAGTCTGTCCTTCTTTCCCAGAGGTCGCTCTCCACGCTTCTCTCTCTTCACGTGTCTCTTTCCACGATATTTTCTTCGCCATCTAGCTAGATTCCTCTGCACAAGCAGAGTCTCCCACGCTACAGCCGAGAAGGCCGCCGAAACGACAAACGTGATCAAAAAACCTTCGATTCTGCAGCTCAACCTATCAACACTGCCGGAACCTGGGCATAGTCCAACCCCTTTTCCAGTCCGGCCGCAATTCAACCATTCCCACGAGTTTAATAGAAATCTACCCATCAACCAAACATCTCCAGAATTTGATCCAACGCAGCTTCATCCAATTCTTCCCCAGAATCCTCCTTACCCAACAACTCCTCCACCAACTGCTCCATCAACGGATCGTCCTCGCTCTCCACCTCGCTCTCCTCCTCGCTCTCACTCGCCTCCACGCTCTCACTCTCCGATTCCTCACCCTCCCCAGCCGTAACCCTAGCCCTCTTTTTATTCCCCCTCTGCAGCGCAACTGGCTTCTCCTTCCCATCATTCTCCTTGAACTCCTGACACAATCTCTTACAAAGCGTTGCTATTCCCGCACGACCTCTCACATCCTCCCCAGTCAACTCGAAATGCTCATTGAATTTCCTCGCCAACTCCGTGTAACCCTCTCGTGGGGTGTTTCCATCCGACAAGGCAATGTGCTTGAACAGCCAAGTACGCTGCTCAGCGTCATATATCTTCCGCACCTTCTGGCGGAGAAGTGGCCAGCCGTCACGCTCGAGCGTCTGATTCCGCCACTTGTTTAGGCTATCGAGGGACTTCTTGTCATTCCAGTCGATATCGGGAGCGTACATTTGCCAGCGACCCCTGTGGATCCACGACTTGTGACACTGGAACTCCTTGTTGGGAATAGCGACGGCGCGGTCGAGGGTGATGATTTCGCCGTTAATCTTCCGAGTGCTGTAATTGGTCTGGCCGAAAAGGCCGCGCTGGTCGTTAGTGCCGTTGTTCCAAGGCGCGTGCTTGATGTTCGAATACTGATCAGTGCCGAAGTCACAGGCCTTTGGTGGGAGCTCGTCGGTGTTTATGATCCAGCTTGCAGCTGCTTCAACTCCATCATCTTCTTCGTCACCGACAAAGCTAAGGTCGATGTCGAGTGTTGGATCATGATAGTCCCAGTTGCCGGGAAGATGCTGCTGCAGCAAACCTATGTTGAGGTAGTACTGTGTTGATTCGCGAATGCGGAAGATGTGCGCGGCGGTAGGATGTTCGATGCCCTCCGTATCGAAGCCGATCTGGTCAGCGAAACAGTCGACTGCTGCTTGGGCGATGTCAGGGTTACTGAAATACCAGGTGCCCTTCGTAGCGGGCGCGTGGAGGTGAGGCATCTCTCTGAATGCTTCTTGATCGAGCTTAATCTCCTCGCGTTTGACGCCAGCGGACGGAATACCTGCCTCGACCGTCTGCTTCAGCGCGTCTGCTAGTGGTTCGAGGGAGAGGAAGTTGTGCGCTTCTTCGACGGAGATGTGCTCGTCTTCCGGGACGCCCTGCTGCGCTTGGCCATCGTCCGAGGAATCCTCTTGTTTGACTGACTCTGAGGATTCTGAGCGAGGTCTCTTGACGCCGACCACGCTGTCGGCGCGCGGAAGAGCAGTGAGGGGGAATGTTGGTGCAGACATTTTGCTTCTGCTGTTGGATAATATGCGTTTAGCTGTATGTTGATGAACGGTCGATGAACTTCGTTTCTTGCTCGCTTGAGATGAAGTTTTTGAATCCGAGTGTGTTTGTTTGCTTCCTGATATGTCTTGGCGGGCGGCGGGCGGCGGGAGGACGTCGGGAGCCCTCTCTGGCAACAAGATGATGTATGACGCATTGTTGGCTACGGGATCATCTTCTACCGTCACCCATTCCACTTCATCGTCCGCCAGGCCTGGCAAGGGATGCAATGTCTCATCTGGTATGGTGATGTATCCATGGAATCGAACAACGACCTCGCGAGGATGCTCAAGCGCGGCCGTAGATGGGAAATGGCGCGTCAAACGAAGCTGCTCAGTTGGACCGAGGCAGATGGAGCCCTCTGTAGTACCTCTCTTGAGTCTAGGGAACTGTGGCGGCTCCGGATAACTCGTCTGCAGGTAGTACGGGTCGATCCCTCCGGGCAATGAATCACCTTTACCGACTTCCTTGCAGAAGAATGCCTGGCTGAAGAGCCATGCCGGGAGTCTGGATTTCTGCTGGTATCTCCGATACCACTCGACTCCATACGGAGCTGGCCCGTCAACGGCTTCGCTGCGCTCGCGACGATACCAAACACCATCATGACCCCGAACGGCAACAAGACGCGGTGGAGATAGCAAGACCACATTCCACGCGGTACTGCCGGGATGGGATGCTGCGAACTGGAATCCCTCTGGATAATGCTTGAGCTGGGCAGCCAAGATACGCTTGCCGCATTGGGTCTGCAGCAGTGGCAAATTGCCCTCGTCGTTGCCCTTGTCTAAGACGGATGGTCGGTCATCGAGGCCACATACTGGCACGGGAAGACGAAGCATACCACTTGCTTCTACCTGTGAACTTCCACAAGAATTCAGAGTTTCGCCATCACTTTCCAGGCCAGACAGCCCGGCTAGATCATTGCCATCATCTGAAGGCGTTCGTCGGTTTACAGCGTGGCAAGATAGAAAGTGGATGGAGAAACGTACCTTTTGCTGTTGTATGGGAATTTTCCCACTTGTTGGATGGCCCGCTCATGCCCTCGTCGTGATCCCAGGCGGAGGGAGTACCGCTTCGTGTCGATGTGCATGATCGCACAACACTTGCGTTGAAGATGTATGCGTGAGCTCGGTCTGCTTCAGCAAGCTAAACGAAAGGATGCGAATGAAGCAGAGTCGCCGCGGGTTTGCTCGATCACAAGCGGGCATTTGACAGACAACAACGCTGGCGACATAGTCGATCTCAGCTACCATTCCGAGCTGCTTTGTCGATACTCATGGTGGCATGTCTTGCGGGGATCAGCAACAAAGGAGTCCCGACAGCAAGAAGGTTGTCCCAAAGCAAGCACTTACAGCAAAGTGGCCTCTGACGAAACCAAAGTCCGCACGCTTCTGAACCTCAAGGGTATGGTCAAGGAGTAGGCAAGCACCTCGTCGGATCTCTGTTGCTCCAGGTCTGGTCGAGAGTGTGTATAGCTCTCCAGCCCCTCGTCGGCGGAATGACTGAGACCACCATGTCTGGTGTCAGGATTTGTGGAAGGGAGTTTCGACCTGTCTTGAACAGGGTCTCCAGCATTTTTAGATGCAGCCGATGTGATGCCAGAAGGACCACGCGCCTACTCCGGGATATTCGCAGCTGTCCATTGATCAAGGATAAGAGCGATGGAGTGAAATTGAAAGAGATGAAGCATACGTGGTAGATGCGCATGCGAAAGCAATGTGTTGACATGAGACCGTTTCTCCACGAGCACGAGGACTGGCACTCGATGCGACGTCTCAAGCGAAGATGCCGCAGCACGGACACTTCTTTCTCCTCCGCGAGAATGTTGAAGCGCCACTCTCCCGAACATCGATCAATCCGATGATTTCCTGGGCAGGATCGAAAACAATGCAATGAAAGGCTTAGTGGGCGGATAATCTGCTCAAATCTTCAATGATCGGAACATGGACAAGTTTTGCAACTCAAATCGACTGAGTGCCCTCACCACCATAGGCTGAGCTCAGTTGATGTCATTTTGGCCACTGTACCGTCCCGATCTTATCAATCGAAGATGAATGGTAACAGTCAAAGCCACTACAGCGAGTCGCGGGGTGATACTACAGGGTCTCGCGAGAATACTGACTGGTTGAAAAAATCCCTCAATCGGTCTGGCATCTGATGAACAAAAATGTAGACCGATTACAAATTTCAGAATTGTGCTTTATTGCTTTCACAGCAATCGCATTCTGCTATACAGGGTACCCCAATCATCTTCGAAACACCCCACATTCTATTACAACGACCACATAGATCGACGCAAGCTTTCCTTGAAGACTACGTTTACATCCGACAGGTCGGTGAAGACGACCTGCAAGCCAAGCAAAATTAAGCCAGCGCTATGCAGCGCGCTTGTTCGAGGTAGGAAATCATTAACTTCTATCTTCACGGCAAGTGGAGCCGAACATGCAAGGATTCAAGGATATCGTAGACCAAGAATCCTGCAGGATTCTCATCCGAGCCCCGAGACCCAGGGATCGAGCTATTTCAATCTCCCTAACTCTTTCGCAGGTGCTACTACCCGACTTCGAAGAAAGCGAGAGAAGGGCGGTCTGGTTTGCTTTCAATGCTGCAAAGAAGATGAGAGTCAATGAATGAATCGCGGCATGCCAATACAACGAAAGATGAGCGAAGAAGGTACACCGACTTCAGCATACCAAGTCAATTTGGTCCCCCAAAACTTTGAAGAAGCAAAATCATGCTATGGGCTGAGCGAGTATTCAGAGCCAATCGGGCATGTCAAAGAGTCGCACGGGGCAGATCGACGAACAAGCTTCTCAGCGATGTGGCAAGATCCAATGCATACCCACAAACTCATCCATGAGCTACGGATGTCGGGAATATCCTCCTACGAGACCCCCACCTCAGAAGAAAGTGTGATGCCCGGAGCCATTACTCGTCGCCAGCAGTATTAAAGGAATGCTCATACCGCTGATGCTGAGCTGGAAGAATTGCCATGTCTCAGATCGACCCTTCGTCAAGCTGACCGATTGACCATCATGACGGCAAAGTACGATTCTGCTGCTCAGCACATCGAGAAGTCCAATGTTACCCACCTGGAGGTCGTAGCTGACCCAGAATTACTTTCGGGAGCTTGCATAGCAGAGAATAGAGAGCACGAGCAGAGCTTATGGGTGAGTCGATGGAAGTATCGCTCCGACAGGARAGGCAATGGCTGATCACAACGAATCCTCTACTAGCATGCGGCCAAGAAACATCGCAAAGTATGCTTCTGGGCAGCCATGATGACTTTTACCATCGTAAGTCTCGCGCCTCGCAAATGACACCCACTGCAGCGAAGCTAAAATCTTCAACAACAGGTCATGGAGTCCTACTGTTCGTACCTAACTGGTAAAATCGTCGCTCTTCCATACTTTCAAAAGCGGTACGGTGTAGAGATAGGGCTCAACGCCGAAGGTGTCATGCGATACGCCATTGAGACGAAATGGCAGTCTTCTCTCCACCAAGCCGGTCAATGCRGTGCTTTTGTCGGAGCTCTTCTAGCCGGACCAGTCACCAACAAACTCGGATATCGATGGACGACTCTCCTTGCGGTGTTTACGATGAATGCGGCAATCTTCATATCGTTCTTCGTAAGTGACATTGCAGCCTCGCCCATACCATATTGACGGGATGTCCAGGCCGATTCCTTGGAGGTTCTGGTCATCAGCCAAGCATTCGAAGGTATACCCTGGGGATTCTTCATTGCCAACTCTCCCGCCTACGTAAGCGAGATAGTCCCGCTCAAATTGCGAGCTGCATGTGCCTCGACAATACAGACATGCTGGTCTCTTGGCGGCATTATTGCTGGTGCAGTCTGCTATGCAAACAATCAACGCGATGATCAATGGAGCTGGCGACTTGCAATGGCCCTCCAGTGGATGTTTCCGGTTCCACTCCTGGCTGTCCTCTTCTTCGCCCCAGAGTCTCCCTACTGGCTAATCCGTCACGGCCGCAGTGAAGAAGCACTGCGGTCTATCAAACGTCTGGGCCACGATCTTGACCAAGAAGCCAGTGAGACGTTGGCAATGATGGAGAGGACGATCGAGATCGAAGTCCATGAGATTGGCGATCCACCCATTCTTGACCTTTTCAAAGGTGTCGATCTTCGACGCACAGTCATCATTTCTTTGGTGTACGCCTCGCACAATTTCGCTGGGAATATGATCACCACCCAGGCCGTCTTCTTCTTCGAACAAGCTGGACTGAGCGTGAGTAGAACCCGCCGATCCTACGACAAATGATCTCCAGCTGACTCCACATTTCCAGACCAATTTCTCCTTCCAACTAGGACTCATCAATTCCTCTCTGGGATTCATCGCCACCCTCCTCTCAATCCCACTCGGAGCCCGCTTCGACCGCCGAAAAATCTTCTTAGCAGGCTGTCTGATCAACACAATCTTCCTCATCCTGATCGGAGCTTCGGCCTCTGTTCCTCAAAACACCGCCACGAGCTATGCACAGGCCATCGGGGCCGTCTTGATTACATTCGTCTATACAGGGTCTCTCGGACCAATCTCCTACTCCATCATCGCGGAGACCTCTTCTGTGCGACTTCGCGCGCTATCGACCGGAGTTGGCAGAGCAGCGTACTACATAACAGAGATTCCGATGATCTATCTTGCGAGTCGTTTGTTGAATCCCACGGGCTGGAATCTAGCAGGGAAATCTGCATTTGTCTGGGCTGGGACTGCGATGGTATGTTTTGTGGCAGCACATGTGGGCTTACCGGAGATGAAGGGCAGAAGTTATCGAGAGTTGGATATTCTATTCGGGAGGAAAACTCCTGCCAGGCGGTTCAAGGAGACGGTGATTGATATCAAGGATAATGAGTAAGAGAATGATGCCCTGTAGGACAGAATCAACGTCTGTATGTGCTTGGAATGGCCAACCTCGAGATTGAAAACGTCCCGGTAGATGGATGAAGTCCTGCCAATCTTGTCATGCAGTGTTCAATGGCCAGTTTGATGTAGAAAGCCAGTCTCTCGGCAAGAGCGCATTCATTCACGATGAATGACGTGCAAGCTAGATCACTTCCAAGTCCGTGGTATGCAATGACTGCTTTTTACGCACTTCAATCGTATCGATCAGATTTGTACCAAGTCAATGGCTCTGCTGCCATCCAAAGCACAGACCATTGAAAATCCTTGGCATGCTTGCTCCTCCATTCTCCGCTCTCGCTCCTAAATATTAACCAACATATCTGTTTGCGCTCCAACGCCCTGTATTCCCACAACGCCTCAGATTCTCCCAGAAATGCTCACGCCGCCTCAACGCTTCCTCCCTCTGCCTTCGCTCAGCGGCGGCGGATAATACCCCGTCTGCCCGCCCGCATCTCTCCACCCTGCCTCCCGATGATAAGGCTGCATCGTACCTTCATACCCGTGATACGGTATTCCACCACTTCTCCGTCTCGAATCGCCGCTCCTCCTCACAGGTCCCGCGTACACGATCTCCTCTCTGGGCTCGACCAGAATGCTCCGTCTTCTTTGCCGACGTCGCTGTCGGAGGCTTGGGTATGTGAGGATGATGTACCAGGCGTAGACGATGCCGGGGATCCAACCAAGGAAGAGAAGGCCGATGCAGATGATGACTTCGGCGCCGCAGCCTCGTCGAACTATCACTGGTGCAGGTGGAAACTGTGGGTTGTTAGTCGGCGGCGACGGGGAGGAAGAWGGGGAGGGTGTACGAAGATGGCGATGATGCCGAGTAGAATACCGCCCTGCAAAAGCTGTCAGCCTGGAATATGCTGCCGATCAGCCGTGAAAGAAGTCGTACACAAGTCATGTTGTCTCGCTGTCCTGAGCGAGTCGGCGATGTTGCGGCAGAGTGCGATCAATGCTGGATGGTTGAAAGAAATGCGGAAGAAAGGCAAGTGCTTTGGATTGATGCGTCGTATGAACATTCAGAATCATCTCCAGCMGTCCAGCCTCGTTCCTGTCATCTTTCCAACCGTTTTGAGTAACCGTTTGAAGGCGCACGTGCTATAGTGTCCGTGACGTCTATGTCTCACCGCATCTAACACAATTCCGCCTCACTTCCGCTATGTAAATTCCAAACCTCCTACGATGCGCTATCGACATCTTAAGAATATACGGTTTATTTAAGATCTTGGAAATCCTACGAATATTTTACTAGGTTTACTATATCGGTCTACTACGGTTATAAAGTAAGTGCTATAGGGATTCCTACTAATATATTCTATAATCTCTAATATATATATAAGAATATACTAAAGAACTACGTGTTCTAATATATTAATTATCTCTTTAAATAAGTAATTATTTATAACTTATATTAAACCCTTCTTTCTTTCTTAACGCGTATTTTTTAAATAGGATAATATTCTTTAAATTATAAGCTCTCTAGAGTATATCTTCGGGTCTCGGGTTAGGTCTTATATATTAGAAT